CTCTTCGTCTGTTTATTTAGTCTTTTTTTGTGATCGTTGTTCTCTTTGTGTGCCTTCAAGTCCCTTTTGCTTAGTTTCTCTGCTTATCGTATTTGCGTTCTCAGCTTATCCCTTTGGTCCCTTTTTGTATATATTTGCGTCCTTCCCTTTTTTGGTCCCGTGGATTTGAATGTATGCGCAAACTTAGATTAAACTTGACATGTAAACTTATATTTAAGTTTAGATATAAATTTAGATTCAAAGTTCAATGCACATTTAAATCTAAATTTAAATACAGATTTACGTTTACATATCACTTTCAAGTTCGATTTCAATGCAAGTGCCACTTCAGCTGACAATTTTGCTCTTGCTTGTTTTGCATTGCAGAACATGCCGAGGTTGTACCTCCAGCTCAGGCTTGAAGGTCACACTGGATTTCGAATTCAGCCGTGGATTTCAATGTTTGTGTAAACTTAGGTGTAAAGTCGAATTTACATTTAAAGTTAAAACAAAAACATAGATTTAAACTTAAACTTAAATTTAACGTTAAATTTAACCTTACATCTAGATTTCCGTGTACATTTACATTTCAAGTTAGATTTCAGCAAGCTGAGATGGCAATTCAGCTTTTGATCAGTTTGCATTGCGGTGTGCATGCCGAGGCTGTACCTCCGGCTCAGGCTTGAAACTCGCACTGCAATTTGAATTCAAACGTGGATTGAAATGTACGTGTAAACCTAAATTTACATGTAAATGTTACTTTAAATAATTGAACTTGAACTTTAAAATACGATGTACATTCAAATCCGAAGTTAAACTTGTGTTTACATTTACGTTTACATGCAACGGTAAATTTAGATTTCAATCTAAGTGCCACTTCAGATGGCAATTCAGCTCTTGATTAGTTTGCTTTGCGGTGCATGCCGATTCTGTAGCTCCAGCTCAAGCTTGAACGTCACACTGCAATTCGAATTCGAACGTGGATTAAAGTGCATGTGTAGACTTAGATTAAGATCTACATTTACATTTAAGATTATATTAAACTTTGATTTGCACCTCAATTCTGGGCGCTACGCGTATCCCCATCAGCCCATCCACAAACGATGCCTAGGGGAGCTGACGGAAGAAGGGAAGAAGTGACGCACATAGTGAAACCGAGCGGGCAACAACGGTGAATTGGGAGTTTTTTACCTACCAGCGAAGACTGATAGATTTCTAGTGGTCTCAAAAGAGAGCATCATGACTCCCCAGGGGGGTCCGGGCAGATGCTGGACGGGTGCCGCGGGAATCCGGGGACTCCCGCGGGAATCCGGGGACTTTCTTTAGCCAACAGTAACGCACTTCGTGGTCCTCGAGTTCCCAGAACTCCATTCCTGGGCATGATTTTGAATGCCCGGAGCCAACTGTAGGCCACTTCGTGCCCTTCGAGTTCCCAGAACTCCATTCCTGGGCATGATTTTGAATGCCCGGAGCCAACTGTAGGCCACTTCGTGGTCTTCGAGTTCCTAGAACTCCATTCCTGGGCATGATTTTGAATGCCCGGAGCCAACTGTAGGCCACTTCGTGGTCTTCGAGTTTCCACAACTCCATTCCTGGGCATGATTTTGAATGCCCGGAGCCAACTGTAGGCCACTTCGTGTTCTTCGAGTTCCCAGAACTCCATTCCCGGGCCACATTTTGAATGCTGGGGCAGGCTGATGCTGAGGCTGAGCAGGCTGAGGCTGAGGCAGGCTGAGGCTGAGGCCGAGGCTGAAGGCAGACTGAGGCTGAGGCTGAAGCAGACTGCGGCTGAGGCTGAGGCAGGCTGAGGCTGAGGCTGAGGCTGAGGCTGAGGCTGAGGCTGAGGCTGAGGCTGAGGCTGAGGCTGAGGCTGAGGCTGAGGCTGAGGCTGAGGCTGAGGAGGCAGGCTGAGGCTGAGGCTGAGGCTGAGGCAGGCTGAGGCTGAGGCAGGCTGAGGCTGAGGCCGAGGCTGAAGGCAGACTGAGGCTGAGGCTGAAGCAGGCTGAGGCTGAGGCTGAGGCAGGCTGAGGCTGAGGCTGAGGCAGGCTGAGGCTGAGAGCTGAGGCTGAGGCTGAGGCAGGCTGAGGCTGAGGCTGAGGGCTGATGCTGAGGCAGGCTGAGGCTGAGGCTGAGGCTGATGCAGGCTGAGGCTGAGGCAGCTGAGGCTGAGGCCGAGGCTGAAGGCAGACTGAGGCTGAGGCTGAAGCAGGCTGAGGCTGAGGCTGAGGCAGGCTGAGGCTGAGGCAGGCTGATGCTGAGGCAGGCTGAGGCTGAGGCTGAGGCTGATGCAGGCTGAGGCTGAGGCAGGCTGAGGCTGAGGCCGAGGCTGAAGGCAGACTGAGGCTGAGGCTGAAGCAGGCTGAGGCTGAGGCTGAGGCAGGCTGAGGCTGAGGCTGAGGCAGGCTGATGCTGAGGCAGGCTGAGGCTGAGGCTGAGGCTGATGCAGGCTGAGGCTGAGGCAGGCTGAGGCTGAGGCCGAGGCTGAAGGCAGACTGAGGCTGAGGCTGAAGCAGGCTGAGGCTGAGGCTGAGGCAGGCTGAGGCTGAGGCAGGCTGAGGCTGAGGCTGAGGCTGAGGCTGAGGCTGAGGCTGAGGCTGAGAGAGGCTGAGGCTGAGGCCGAGGCTGAAGGCAGACTGAGCTGAGGCTGAAGCAGGCTGAGGCTGAGGCTGAGGCAGGCTGAGGCTGAGGCAGGCTGAGGCTGAGGCTGAGGCAGGCTGAGGCTGAGGCTGTGACTGCGACTGCCGTTGCCACTGCGACCCCCCGGACCAACCGGCCCACCCGGACCACCCGGACCGCCCGGACCACCCGGACCACCCGGACCACCCGGACCACCCGGACCACCCGGACCAACCGGACCACCCGGACCAGCCGGACCAGCCGGACCAGCCAGACCAGCCGGACCACCCGGACCACCTGGACCACCCAGACCACCCCGACCACCCGGACCACCCGGACCACCCCGACCACCCGGACCACCCGGACCACCCGGACCACCCGGACCACCCGGACCACCCGGACCACCCGGACCACCCGGACCACCCGGACCCCGGACGTGGAGGCGACTATGGTCGCAGGAAACCCTTCAGGCGCCAATGGCGCTCTCTGGGCGGCCGGGGATCGCGGGGGGGTCCACGTCGGCCTGAACGCGCCGAGAAACGACCCTGGGCGTCTGGTGAAACCCAGATCCCCAATCCGTCGCCGAGACGTCTCCACGAGCTTCCACATCGACGCAAGTGGGCCCAATAACTCCACGGGAGCCTCCGGAGAGCAAGTAGAAAAACCCGAGGAAGAGCGCGACAGGCCCCAAGACAGGCCCGATACGCCCTAGAGCGAGCCCCCTGCAGAAGCACGCAAGGAACCACTCGCATCCGCCCCGGACAGGGACGCAATCCAGACCCGCGACCGGAGAAATGAAAGATTTCGCGGTTTGGGCCCGCCCAAAACAACAAAATCTTTCATTTCACCGATCCGGCCTGGCGGGGGTTCCAGGGGCGGACGCCGCGCGCGCCCTGAGGCGGCGGGCCGATCGACGCAGGGCCGCGTCCTCGCTTGAGCGCGCGCACCGATCTGCGGCGCGGCGCGCGCATTCCCGTGCCTGAGGCCTGCGGAGATGAACGGTGCACATATTCGTTTCGTCATGAAGATTCCCGTCGACATTGCCGGGCAGCCTTGAAATGCGCGCTGATTAAACGGGATCAAGCCGCGGCTATATAGGCACATGCGGCCCCAATGTCTGTTCGGGGGCCGCTCGAGTCAACCGAAGGGCCGATGAATCGCGCATCGCGTCGCTTTCCATCAGTAAATGAAAATGCATCTACAGCGCGCGCGTCGTTCTCGCGGAGCCCAGCAGCATCTTGCGATGGCCACGCTCGCTTGGTTTACGCGTTCCAAGGAGGCAGCAGGCAACGAAACGAAGAGCGCGCCGTGTAATCATTCAATGAAGCGTCAGCGATCGCCTCCTGGGACATCCTGTTGCCTCCTGGGGCCTGCTGGAGCCTCCTGTGGCATCCTGGGGAGGATCCATGCTCATGAGTCTGGGTACAAAACAGGCAAACCGATCAAGACATCCTCAACAGCTGGCCCTACTTGGGAGCGAAACTGAACGCCTCGCTCGAGACATCCTCCAAATCTGCTCCGAAAGCGGAGGATGTTGAACCAGGAAACAAGCAAACCGCTCGAGAAGTTCCCGCCATTCTGGCGCGAACGGAGGATTGCAATACCCCCTGGCGGCTTCCCCTTAGGGGTGCTGAAACCCGCGCCTCGCTCGAGACATCGTCGAGTCTGGCCACCAAAACAGCCAAACCGATCGAGACATCCTCAACATCTGGCCCCACTTGGGAACGAAACTGAACGCCTCGCTAGAGACATCCTCCAAATCTGCGCCGGAAGCGGAGGATGTTGAGCCAGGAAGCAAGCAAATCGCTCGAGACATCCCCGCCATTTTGGCGCGAACGCAGGATTGCAATACTCCTTGGCGGCTCCCCCTTGGGGGTGCTGAAACTAGCGCCTCGCTCGAGACATCCTCAGGATTAGCCCCGCCAGCATCATCATCATCATCATCATCATCATCATCATCATCATCAGCAGCAGCAGCAGCAGCATCATCATCATCATCAGCAGCATCATCAGCACCATCATCATCAGCATCATCAGCATCATCAGCAGCATCATCAGCATCATCATCAGCATCATCATCAGCATCATCATCAGCATCATCAGCATCATCAGCAGCATCATCATCGTCATCATCATCATCATCAGCATCATCATCATCAGCAGCAGCAGCATCATCAACATCAGCATTAGAATTAGCATCAGCACCATCATCATCATCAGCATCATAATCATCATCATCAGCATCATCGTCATCATCATCATCAGTATCATCATCATCATCATCATCATCATCATCATCATCATCATCATCATCATCATCATCATCATCATCATCATCATCATCATCATCATCAGTCTGGATCTGAGCAACATCTGAATATGGCATAATCGAAATAGGAGGAGACGAGGAAAGGAGAGGAGGAGAAGAAGAAGGAACAGGAGGCGCCGAATTCGGAAACAAGAGCCCCATCTTAGGAGATAGGGGAACCACAGAGGCCCGGCTGCCTTGCTCTAGCATGGCCGCTCACGGGTCACAGGAGACCACGACCGCAGAGCCTGGACTACCAAGAGAGGTGCCCACCGCACACGCCGCACACCCTGGCCTGGATCGGTGCGGCTGTGCAGGCGACCTCTCTCAATGGACGGCAGCAACCGCCAGCGAGAAAAGGGCAACTCGCAGGGGGGCAGTCGAGGCTGCGGCGGTCCTGCCACACGGCCCCGGACCCCTCCCAGGGGTCCGCTATGACCCTCTCTCTTCGGGGCGGACTGAGCCGTGGCGACGAGACCGAGACGGTTCCACGAGGGCACCAAACAACAAACGACGGCGAGGAGGGCCGCCGCCGTCTCGACGGGCTCCCCCTCTCCGAGAGAGCCAGCGAGGGAGGGCAACGCTTCGCTCCCTCCCGCGGGGCCCCGCCGACGAGCTGGCGAAACACGCGCACACACACATGTACGGCTGTCAGCACAAGACTTTCAAGACGAGGCGATCCTGATGTCCCGACCAGATCACCTCAGCAGTGCCGATCTGCTGCCGATCGAATGGGCCGTCTTAGCTCGGCCTGCTGGAGCTCCACTCGGCCGGGCTAAGTCGGCTGAGACTCGGGCAGCACCTGCAACAGAGGACGGCCCCTGGCGACAGGGGACTCACCGCAACACCGGAGGTCGGCCCCCCCGGCAACAGCGGCCGCGCCGCGGCGCGCGCAGGGGCTTGCGCGCGCGCGAGCATGAGAGAACGGACCGACGAGGAGGGCCGCGGTGATAACGATCCTAGCGGCTCTTTCTTGCGTCTGCTGCCTTGACGTGACCAAGGGGGACCGCCACTGGTCGCCAACTCCCCATGGAAACGGGCCCATCTGAACCCCCGAGCCGCCCCAGGACCCCCAAGTACCCCCAAAGCCGTACAACGCATCTTGTATCTTTGATCCCCTCTCCCCCTTGATCCTTGATCCTCGATGTCCTACAGGTGGTTGCCCCTCTGTTGGTGACACCCCCCTGGCACTGCCCGAGGAAGCGAACCCTGAGAGAAGCGGGTCCTGGATCCAGGGGTTTTTTCCACAGACCAGCGCTGCATCACGAGTCGTCCTGTTGACGGTCCCAGGGCCAATGGAGGGCCCCGAGAGCCCCCAAACCGGTGAAATACCTCCAGCACCCGTTTCTTTCATGGCGACTGCCGCTCTCTGCTCGGAAGGAGGAGGAGGCCGGTCGAGACAACGGCAGTCCTCCCTGGCGTTTTTCGCTCTTTTTGGGGGGGGGCTCCCTGGAGGCTTCTCGCCATCACGGCTGCGTTCGCCCCGACCAACGGGTCACGACGGCCCCCGGGACACGTCCAGGGACAGGTGTTCGGCGGAGTCGGGCCAGGCGGAAGAGCCGCCGTTGTCTCAACTGGCCGTCCTCCGACCTGCCTCCCCTCCCCCCTCTGGTGCTGCCAGAAGTGCTCGTGGCCCAAGGATTGTGGGAGCCATGCCACTGGACATCCGAACAATCTGATCATCGAATTACAAATAGATTTTAGTGCAGGAACATGTTCGACACAAATGTTGGAACATGTTCTTCTACATGTGTAAGACATTATTCAAGCATCTGTTAGACATCTGGAAGTTATTTGGCTACATGCTTCCTCTCCATTGATCGTCCTCCACAAGTGATGGGCCTGTTTTCCACCACCATCACCATAAGTTGGAGGGGGAAAAGGGGGAGGAGGACGACGAGGAAAATGAAGCGGAGGAGGAGGAGGAGGAGGAGGAGGAGGAGGAGGAGGAGGGCACGAAGCTCGGCGGGCAGTTCGATCTGCAGCCTCGCCTATGCTTGCATGCGGTGCAGCGCGGCCAGTCTCACACCAGCCCGTTGGTCAGCTCCAGCGTCCAGGCCCACGTCCATGCGGTGCTTCTGGATGTGGTAGCACTGGCACATGAGGCCGACCGCGTAGATGCAATCCGTGATGGGTCGCTTCGCGTGATACTGCTCGTCGCCGAAGCCGAGGAGCTCGGGGCCGTTGCCCAGGGAGTCCGCGCCCGCGTCGCCCGCAGTCATCGCCCTGAGGATCGGGCAGGCGATGTAGTGCTCGAGCGCGTCCTCCTCGTCGCAGCCGAAGAGGCATGGACGCGCGTCGATGACGGCGCTCATGCGACGCGATGTCGTCCAGCCGTTGACCGCGGTGCGCATCCACGACCACATCCAAGCAGGGCGGACCTCCGTCAGCTTGCTACGCAGCGGAGGCCACCTCTCGCGCAGCACGGGCAGAGAGCACTCGACACCCCACCTGCGCAGCCGCCGGTGGATAGTGGCCACCAGGTCCTCGGGGTACAGCGAGCCACGGAGCGAAGCGGCGGCCGTGGCCTGGCGCTTGGGCTTCCTGGAGGGAGTGGCCGCTGCCGCCGTCTTCGTCTCCAGGGTCATCGCCGACTTCGCGATCTTGAGGTACCTGCTCGGGATCGGGACCGAGAGCACGTCGAGCGTCGGTCTGGGTATGTCCAGCTGGCCGTAGGCGTCCGAGATCATGGCGTAGTTCTGCACGATCGCCCTCCGCGCCCGCCACCACGGCGGAGACCAGTTGCCCTTGATCACGTCAATCAGTGGGACATGCTCCACGGCAGCTTCATGAAGGTGGTGAAGGTGGGCTTCCCATCCGCGCACCGTGTTCTCGGCCGAGCGCATCATCGCCGCGAGCGTGCATGGGAAGAGGCCAATCGGCGACGGGGAGCCGCACCACGCGCTCATCGATAGGATGTCAGCCTTGCGCATGGACGAGGGTGGCAGCCGCAGCAGGCGGTGCAGGGAGGTGAACTCGACCTTCCAGATGGCAGGCACGATGAAGTAGAACTGCGCGAGGTACGACAGGCACGGAAGCGCGTTGATGTTGTACGCGCGGGCCGCAAGGCTGGTGGCCATGCCAGTGCGCGCCAGCTCCCAGCAGCGGGTCCACCATTTCCCCGCAGCAGCCTTCCAGATGCCGAAGTCCGTGACGCCTGGGCCCAGGTGAGTACCCAGGTACTTGGCCGTGGAGTCGACGCGGAAGCCCAGCCAGCGGGGGACCTCCTTGGCGAGGAAAGACTTAACGTTCAGCAGTGTGTCCTCCGTTAGCTCCTCCCACAGCGGGACCAGCACGCACTTGTGCAGGGCCAGCTGCAGGTTGAAGGCAAGCTCTATGGAGACGAAGGTGTAGTCTATGCTAGGGAGGGCAACAGCGTTCTTGATCAGCATCCCGAGGTCGTCGGCGCAAGCCGTGAGGAATCCATGCTCAGCAATCGCAGCCAGCAGCGCGCGGATGGGCGCATCCATGGCCAAGCACCAGACCGTGCCAGAGAGCGGGCATCCTTGCATGATGCCGCACAGGAGCGCGAACAGCGGCTCGAGCTCCGCGCTGGTGCCCTCGGCGCGGAAGGAGCTGAAGGCGAGGCAGTTGCTGTAGAGCGCCGCGATCACGTTGCGGAAGCCCAGCGGGACCCCGAAGCGCGGGAGGACCTTCTCGATGACTTCCCTGAAGAGCGAGGGGAAGGCCTGGCGGAAGTCGAACGACAGGAACATGGGGCGGCGGGTCGCCGCGTCAGGAAGAAGGCCCCCCTACGGCATTCCGCGTCCAAGTACGGGATGTGGTCGACGAAGCGCCGCCCAGCAGTGAAGCCCTTCTGCTCGGGTGAGGTAGATGATGTGGCGATGGGCTGGAGCCCTCGATCTGCACAGGCCGCAATCAGCTTGGCGTCGCAGTTCTTCAAGGAGAGGGTGCGCACCGTGGAGGCCGTGCGCGTGCAGGAGTCGGGGACGTCGTCCTCCTCCGTGCCCTTCGGCACACAGATGAAGATCGACCAGTTGAGGTCGAGCGGGGCCACGCCGTCGTTGAAGAGGACTTCCATGAGTCCCTGGAGGTGCTGCACGGCTCCAGGGCTGCGGCGCCATGCTGCGTACGTCAGCTGATCTGGTCCCGCAGCGCCCGGCGGGGCCCTGCTGGCCGCACGTTCCAGGTCGTGTAGAGCAGGTTGAGGTAGTTCCACCGCAGGGTTCCTTGGTGCGTGCTTGTCCAGGAAGGCGCCCAATGCCTTGAGCTGTTCAGAATTCGGCACCTTCGCGAAGATCTCACCCCAGTAGTTCGCCACAGTCGCCTTCATGCCCGCGGGGTCGGAGACCACGTGCTGAGCCACCTGCGAGTCCTTGGCGGCACACGGTGCGGAATCCACGCGCAAGCCCGAGAGGATCATGCGGCGCCGCCACGGGACCCAGAGCTGCGCATGTCTGGCGGCCTTGCGTTCAACCCTCCGCCAGGCTGCGCTGTCGCGCACGTTGGCCGTCCGAGCTGCTGCCTCCGCCGCCTGCCTGCGCAGGGAGTGCACCCGCTCGGCGATGGCGTCGAAGTTGGTGGCAAAGCTGTGGGGGTCCACGAGGCGCACGGTGCCGTCGGCAATGTGGAGGTGGGCGGCCAGCGCAGGGCAGGAGCCGAGAAGCCTACCTGCCAGGACAACGTCCTGTCGCCAGACTGCTCGCGCCGCCGATTTGAAACCCATGTGCGAGGTCTCGACCGTGGAGTCCTTGACGTGTAGGGAGAAGTTGGTCCGCAGCTGTTCATCACGAACACGTCGCGCAGCAAGCTTCATGCACTGCTTCGCTGCTCTCCAGCGGCCTTCCGCCGTTTCCCCAGCCAGGGCGCAGTGGTCCAGCATGAGCGTGTAGGTCACGGGGTACTTCCTGTGGTTGAAGAGGTGCGACGGGATTGGCTGCTCGTCTCGTGGGACATGGCGTGCGGCAGTGATCTGCAGGACGAGGGGCGCGTGGTCGCTGATGCCCGCCTCGGAGAGCTCCATCGCGTCCCTCGCCGTGGTAAGGATCGTCGAGACCGAGAGCATGGCGTGCGCGTCGATGCCCAAGAAGATGCGGTCGATCGTGGACAGCTGCTTGCAGGACTTGTCGTAGTGGGTCGGCCATTGAGACTCAACCTCCATGGCTGCAGCGAATAGACGGCGCCACGCAGGTTGCCGAAGTTGGCAGCGGTGATCAGGTCGGAGGCGCCAAGCCGTAGAGTCTGAGGGTGCTCGTTGACTGACTGGTGGGCGGGTAGCTATGTTGAAGTCACCGACGCCCAGGAAGATGCGGTGTAACGAGTCTCGGCGCGCCCACGCCAGGCCACTGGACCAAGTGCGCTGTGCTGCAGTGAACTCGTGCGGCTTGAGGTCGTAGTTGTGGATGTTGAAGATCTGCATGCTGCACTTGCCCGTGCTGTCGGTGATCGCGAGGAGCGCCGCGCGGCCGACCGCCACTGTGTCGAAGCGGTAGGACGGCAGAGCAGGTGTGGAGTTTCGTGAACTTGACCAGGTGTTGTTCGGTAGTGACGTGGAAGTCGTGGGGGAACGTCGTGTACTTGACCAGGTGTCGGAGCAACTTGCTGTCGTCGGAGAAGAGGAGGTTCGTGAACTTGACCAGGTGTCTTGAGTCGGTAAGGATGCAGCAGGGGGCGAGGCACACTCAGGAGGGCCCACCCGCCTCGCCACGCCCCCGCTTCCCAGAGATTCGGCTCTGGGTCCATCCGCCCTTGGACTTTCATCGACGTATCGAGGGACGAGAAAGGCGACTCCGCCCACGGCAGCGGAAGGGCCAGGCGATAGGAAGCTCAAGTACTTCTGCGGCTGCGACTGGAGGAAGATCCTGAGGGCGTCCTCGGAGCCGTGGACCTCCTGCACGGCGATGATGGCGTTGACCTTCATGTATGTGGCGAGCAGTGCCAACTTGCGTCTGCGCAGCCTCGCGTCCGAGTGGAGCAGGCCACGGGCATTCCACACGACCAGGTGAAGTCCACGGAAGCCATGCCGATCGCCAGGAGGACGCCATGGCGCCCACAGTGGGGTGCTAAATCCACTCGGTGTTGTCCTCCGTGGAGAAGGCCTTCTTGAACTGCGTGTTGATGGACTCCCTGTCGATGTGCAGCCTGGCGACCATGTCTGGGTTCCACCTGATGATAGTGTCGGTGTAGCGGGATTCGCCCATCTCGAGCTTGGCAACCTTGACGCCCTGGGAGGTGACGATGCCACGGGCCCGCTGAGCACTGAAAGACAGATCAGGATGAGCTTCTGCCAGCAGAGCCGAGAGCCTCCTCGACTGAATCTCCATCCGAACTTGCTGCGGAGACTTGTCGGGCGAGAGGTACAGCGGGACGGCGCCACCGCCGACGCTCTGGGCGCTGAAGGAGCGCCATCCGTTCCTGCCAGCTGGGTCACGTAGCTGCCGTGCAAGTGCTTGGGCCCGAGGGAGAGCGACACCGTCGCCGCCCTGCACCAAGACGTTGAAGCGCTTGGAGGGGACCGCAGGGTCGATGCGGACCATGTCGTTGGTGAGGCCAGCCGCGCGAATCCACTCCTCCAATCCTTGCAGAGCTTGGGCGGGTCCAACCAACTGCGGCGCTCCAATCGAGAAGATCCGCGGGTTGGGTTGACGAGACCACGCCTCCAGCTCTTGAAAGTCCATGATGGGCAGCTCCTTCTCGGCGAGGGCCAGGGCCTTGTTGATGTCCCCGATCTGCTTGCGCATGGCAGCCTGCTCCGCCTCCAGGGCGTCGGCGCGCTGACCGATGGATGCGATGTCGCGCGTCTGCACGGCGAGGGACCTGTTGACAGCCTCCTGCTGGGTCTGAAACATGCGCACCAGCTGCGTCTGGCAGGAAGTGACCTGGGCCATGGAGGTCGCGGCGATGGCGTCGGTGGCCTGGCGAATGCAGCTCTGCAACATGGCCTGCATGTCCATGCCGCCAGCGTCCACAGGAGTGGCCATCCCACCGATGGGAGTGCCAGCAGCAGGAGGTTCAGAGTGTCCATCAGCGGGGGCAGCACGATCATGCCAAGGGTCCCCACCAAGGCGTTGCCACGGGTCAGGAGGAGCATGCTGAGGTCCAGCTTGCGGGTTGCCAGCGGGCGCCTGCTCCAGTTGCATGGCCTGACGCTCCTGCGAGGGGAAGGTGGCCGCCGCCTCGGAAGCAGCCGCGAGCTCATCCTGGGCGGCGCGATCGAGTCCTCCAGGTCCATGGCGCGCACGATCACTGGCCGGCGAACCCGAGGCATCCGCTTCGCCGTCGGAGCGTGGGTGGCCCCGCCGAGCCCGACGCCGCGCAGGGGCCCGCTCGTTCGTGCTGCGGGAGGCCGACCGCAGGTCCTCGGCTGGGGGCTGCTCCTTGCCCTTGTCGCCGCGCCTCCGCCCGTCAGCAGCACCAGGACCGCGGTGGCCACCACCAGCACGACCCGCCCTGCGCCGCTCCTCCTCGGCCGCCATGCACTGCGATGGAGAGCCCTCGCGGGCACAAAACTGTGGGTCCACGCGGACCAGTCTTTGGCGGCAGCTCGCCCTGGGTGTGGCTGCAAAGGAATCCCCACTCCTGGCCGCGGCACAGCGGTATCCATTTGGACGCCGCTGCGCACCAGGACATCTTGAGCCAAAATGGCTACGGAGGAGGAGGAGGAGGAGGAGGAGGAGGAGGAGGAGGTGGAGGAGGAGGATGACCACCTCCTCCTCCAACTTATGGTGGTGGTGGAGGAAAACAGGCCCATCAACAAGTGTTGCCAGAAGTGCTCCTGGCCCAAGGTGCCCCCAGGATCTCCAGGGAGGCCCCCCGCGGCCTCCAGGGCAGCGCCCACGAGGCCCAGCGGAGGGCCCTGGGGGCCCTCTAGAGCCCCGCGGTGGAGAGGAAAAGCTGGGGACACCCTGGGCCGGTGACACCTTGCGCCCGCATCCCCGACTCCTCTCCCCGCCTGCCTCCCGCTCCCGCTTCCGCTTCTCCTTCTATCCCTCTCCTCTTCCCCCACCTCCGCAATGACTTGATCTGAATGCTGCCCTCCCTCTCTCTCCTGACATTATGCCGGAGTTTTCCCGCTCTCGCCGCACATTTGTATCTACACCCAAGATTTCTTGGTTTGACGTGTCCTACGTTTTGATACCATCTGGTCGTCCTCAGTCCTTCAAGGCGGTGCTGCAACTGCAGCGAGGACTTCCTTACGTGTAGGATCGGTGCTTTGCTCCCGTCTTTCAGAATTGCGCTCTCGCCCCAGCGCGGGCCAGCTTTTTGGATCCGAGTTATTCCTCATCGTTGTCGCCCCCCTCCTTTCCCCTCCTCCGCCTTCAACTGGTCCTCCTGCTCCTCCCGCTCCTTCCACTCAAGCTCCTGCTGCTGCTGTTCGTCCTTGTCCTCCTCCTCCTTACACACCCTCCTCATCCTCAAACCCATCCTCCTGCATGTTCATCATATCCTCAGTTGACTTTTTGTCGATTGCGCACAGGACGCTAGGGTCCTTCTTGGCATTCCAGGTCCGATATGGCGTTGGCGGATAGAGATGACGTCAGCGCACTGGGAAAGCATGGGTGGGAGGGGTAGCGCACCTAGCTCGTCCGCCGCCCCTCGCTATCCTCCTCCTCCTCCTCCTCCTCCTCCTCCTCCTCCTCCTCCTCCTCCTCCTCCTCCTCCTCCGTCTCCACGTCCGCCTCCTCGTTCTCCTCGCCCGAATCCGTGTCTTCCCACTCCCTGTGGGCCCGGCGTCGCCCGCGGCCTTCCTCGTGGGTGCAAAGGTCGGGCATGCGGGGAAGGACCTCACTGGGCGAGCTGCACCCTTATGAACCCCGCTGTATTACGACGCCAACTACCAGCTTGCACCGGTCGACGATCCTCAGGACGGTGTTTCTCTAATTTCCGGTAACGGTCGTTTCCTGGGGGGGGGGGGGATTCGGGGCCCAGGGTGACAGTACTGCTTGGGCGGGTTGGGGCAAGTCGTGGCGGGGGTGTGGTGCGATTGCCATAATTTACGCGCGGGCACCAACATATGGGGGGGTCCAACCCCCCCTTCCAACGTACGACCATTACCGTTACCCGGGGGAACGAGGCTCGGCTCATGTAACGACCGCTACTCGCGAGAAGATGACAAATAGATGATATTAAAAACGCGTGTTAGCGCCAACGTGTTCATGTCCACCTCAGCCCTTGAACTCAACGCATGCGGTGCAATGAATGCCAGCTCGCCCAAGCATCCGACGTCGCGATGTTGCTCACAACTCGGCTCTCTAGAGGCCTGGACTTGTCACCAGGAGGAATCAACATGTCACACTGGATCGTTTTTTGACGCCTTCGGGGCCTGGTAAAAGCGACAGGAGGATGAACAACAATGCGAACACACACCCTCGTGTGTTTCACGACGCGAGGATGACAGGGCAGATTGCGTGACCTCGGTGGTTCTGAGCGGAGTAAAAACACATTGGGCTAACACACTCGGCACGTCCACAATAGGTACGGAAGAAATTAAGTTACGATGCCCAGCAGCAAGGCTGTCCAAAACCGATGGCGGCCGCTGCTGGGCAGGTGAGCTTATGTCTCACGGTGACACAGACAGCGAATCCTGTTCAAGATGGGCAGGGGGGGGGGGGGTCTTCGTACCCATTCTTTATATACCATTTTAGGTCGTACCAATATTCGTCCTGAGGATCTTATCGAGCCAGCCCCTTCCAGGCCGCTCTTCGGCGCCGCATGGTTGCACGGTGTGCGATTCTGGGCCCAGGACCGGCCCAGCCAGGACGCGGATAGCTGGCGCGGCCACGATGCGGTGCAGCCGTTGAAAAACAGAGACGAGCTCGCTAAGCGAGCGCGCTGCAACAATGCCAGACACGCCGCTGGCAGCCTGAGCGCGCTTGGCAATTTATGAAATGCGATGTGCTCGCCACTGTCGGCGGCGAGTTGAGCGAAACACATGGGTGTCTCGGCCTCAGTTACGAATACTCCTACGCCCTTCTCCGTCCCCTCTTCGCCTGCCTTCTGCTCATTGGCCCTCTCCCACACCATGTCTCCAACCTCCCTCGCTCCCTCCAAGGCTCCCTCCCTCCTCCCTCCTCCCTTGTCTCTCGTTCCTCCTCCCTCCTCCCTCCACAATTACTCAATATGAATACTACTCTCCCTCTTCCCCTGATGGCGTGCTGGGAATAGCCGACCCCCCCCCCGCGTACTGTTTTTTATACACAGGATTCCCGGGAGTTGGGTTTTCGCCTGCGTTTTTTTCAAAATGCTGCTCTCGCTGAGGCGCCGGCCTCATTTCTGCTCCCGAATCGTTCCGGATCGTGCTCCCGCTGCAGCGTGGGCCTCATTTTCGGATCGGTGTTTTGCCTCCGTCGTTCAGGATGGCGTTCTCGCCCCAGCGCGGGCCTCTTTCTCGCGCGCCCATCCGCCCGCCACCACCGCGCCGCACCACGCCCCGCCCCGCCGCACGCACACCCACCGCCACTTCCACCCACCAACGCACGCACGCACGCACGCGCACCACCACCGCGCACCGCCACCACCACCGCACTACCCTACCCACCACCACCACGCTACACCGCGTCACACCACATCACACGCACGCACACACAGACACACACGCACACGCACGCACGCACACACACACACACACACACACGCACACACACACACACACACACACACACACACACACACACACACACACACACACACACACACACACACACACACACACACACAGACACACACACACACACACACACCACCACCGCCATCACGCACGTACGCACCTGGCCCACCACCAAACCACCAAGACGCCACACCACGTCACACCACAGCACACGCGCACACACGCACACACACACACATACACACCACCACCACAACAACCACAACCACGCACACACGCACGCACGCACGCGCACCACCACCCACTACGCACACGCGCGCGGAGCCACAGGTTCGCTACGACACGCGTCCGCGGATAGAGAAAATCAGCGCCATGGTATGGGATGGGAGGGAGGGGTAGGATGTCAGATGTTGACTCGAGCGCACCTAACTTGTCCCTCCCCCCTCCCTGGCTCCCTGCCTCCTCCCTCGTCCCTCCCTCCTCGGCTCCCTCCCTCCCTCCCTCCCTCCCCGGCTCCCTCCCTGGCTCCTTCCCTCCTGGGCTCCCTCTCTTCCCTCCTGGGCTCCCTCCCTTCGCTCCACTCCCCTCCCCGGCTCCCTCCCTCCCTCCCTCCCCTTCGCTCCACTCCCTGGGCTCCTCCTCCTCCTCCTCCTCCTCCTCCACGTCCGCTCGCCCGTGGGCTCGCTTCGGCGCTTCGCGGGGCGTGCCGGACCATCCTAGAGATCCCAGGCGACCTGCTGTCACGACTTGGAGTCGCGCCTGCGAGGGGAGGAGGGCGGGGGGCAGGGCAGAGGGGAGGAGAGCAGAGGCAGCTGCGAGGGCACACCGAAGGAGGCGTGGCATACGATGCAGCGAAGAGAGGGGTAGATGGGAAGAAGAAAGAGGATGAGGAGTAGCCTGAGGAGGCAGAGGGGGAGCCGAGTGTTGGGAGAAAGCAGAGGAGGATGAGGATGAGGATGAGGGAGAGAAGGAGGAGGAGGAGGAGGAGGAAGAGGAGGAGGCGGAGGAGGAGGGGGAGGAGGAGGAGGAGGAGGAGGAGGAGTAAGCCAAAGGCGCATCAACGATGTTGCGATAAACCCTCCCTCAAGTCTCCGTCATCACAAACCCCTACGCAAGCGTATTTCCACTGCGGGGAAGGCCCCGTTGGAAGACAACCGTCGGAAAATCCGGAACTGTGCCAGAACTTCATTGTTGGGACTTCATGCAAAGCAATCCTCCTCCCCCAAACTCTGGTGATGGATGGGAGGGGGATATATTTCTTGAGCCAAAATATGGCGACGATGCAAGAACTCATTGTCTGTCCTCAGCCTGGCCCTGGGAATACCTGCTGGGGTACCCCTCTGAATTGTTACATATCCGAACACCTCTCCTCAGGCATGGAGCGGTGAAGGGCCGAAAACTGCATCACTGCTTCCAGTCTCGGTGATCAATCCGAGATCTTCCGCAACGGCGTGCAAGCCGTCTCCAACAGCACCAAATGACTCTCCAGCCCCTGCTTCGTGAACAGCAGGCGTGGCTGCACAAAACAACTCAGACCAGCCTTGGAAAGAACGGCACAAACGCTCTCTAGGCGCTCTGCCTGCTCGCAGGTTGGGCTCGCGCCAGCCGAGATGATCATCTCGATCAGGCGCTGCTTCCTGACATAGCCCACCCCAAGGCCGATCTTGTTCGCACGAGCCATAGCTCGTAGGTCAGGCACTGTCAGCCTTGAAAGAACTAGCTGCGCTCTCGCATCTCCGTCGCTTGCGGTCTGCTCAGGAGCTGCGCTGTCATCACTCAGCGTCTCGGGACGCTCGTAGCAAACCGCAGTGGAGCCCGCTCTGGCTCCAGCACAACAGCCTACTAGAAAAGACAGCAACGCTATGCTCAAAGCCATCACAATCAGTAGCCAGGGCGCGCCTTTGGCGCCCGCCTCCGCCCCCTGGCCGCGCGCCGTCGGTAGCAGCGCGCTCACCACCACTGCTCCGAGCGGCACGAGCCGCAGGTTCATGGTCGCCATGTGCTTAAACAGGGTCTCTGCTTCCACATACTTCGTGAGGATGTCCGCAACCATCTCCGTGGTCGCCTCTTTGATCAACTCCAGCTGTCGCAACCGTACGCGGTCCTGTAGCCAGAGATACCTTAACTCGAGGTGGCGCACCTTGCCTACGCCGTGGCGCTGGCAGATCCCTCTGCCTGCAGCACTGTCGCTGGCAACGACAAGACGCACGGTGACGCCCACCTCTCCAAGGAAGTGCTTCGCCTGCAAACCTCTTGCAGCTCCACTCCCGATGGCGTAGAACTCAGACTCTCCCGACGACAACGCTTGAGTAGCCTGGCTGACTGCGAACGCCTCGACCGTGTGGCCTCCGAAACGAACAACTCCTCCAGAGGTCGAAGTCCTGAAGAGGCTGGTCGTAGACGCCCAGTCGGCATCCGCGTCCACTCGTAGAACCTCTGGTAAGTCCTGGAGCTCATAGCACCACAGCAGCCTCGGTGCGCCCTCGTAGTACCTGCACAGCCGGTGCAGACGTGCATTCATCAGGACGTTTGGCTTGCTGACGTGCTGCATAATCGTCTTGGAGCTGAACATAGCATCAGGCCTGTCACTCGAGACATACAGGCTCAGTCCTGCCGCTGACGAGGTCGACTTGGCCTCGGCCACGGGCAGTGGGTCCAGGGCATTCCTCATGCCTGCCCCCGTAGCCTTTGTTCCAGGGGTAGGCGCAGCTTTGGAACCCGACTTGTGGCCCCAGCGGATGAGCTCCTCCACGTGCTTCGGATCAGCACTCCAGTAGAAGCCTGGCATCCTGGTCTCGGGCAACTCGCTCGTGTAGCCCACTATGCGCTTCAAGTAGTTCAGCTCACCAGGGTAACCTGGGCCTATGCTCTCGGACTCGGTGACCTCGAAGTTCGCCTCCAGGAAGTTGCCAATGGCGTCGAGGGTGTCGCGGTGGCCCTCCGCCAAGAAGTCATCACCGTGGCAGCACATCGTGGCGTCCATGCCGTCACCCACTAAGTTCTCGAAGTAGTAGGTGCCAGCTGTGCCCTTCAGTGGGTTGCCTCCTGCGTCGTCGATCGCTGCCTTGCTCGTCTCGCCCCAGAGCTGTGAGGCCTTCCTCGTCCCGTTCATCGCCTTGTGCAAAACCCAGCAGAAGCCTTTTGGACACAGCTCCCAGCCTGGATGCACGTAGACCAGCTCGTCCAAGTCCGCATTGAAGAACGCCTTGCGGACATCCCAGACCCGCAGCAGCCGACGGTGCACGCCGTCAGCATCGGACTTGGATGCTGCGAGGGAAATGATCAGCCTGATGACCATCAGCGGCGGCGTGCCCTGGTGGTTGTCCTCGCGGTGCTTGTCGTTCACCTCGGTCGCGACGAACCTCCAGCGCACCTTGTTGCCCTTCATGTGGGCGATCGGGAAGCCCCTGACGTGCTTCCCCCCTGGCTGGCACTGAGAGATGGGGATCTCCGTGTAGACACCGTACTCCTTCATCGCCTCCAGCTCGTCACGCCTGCCCTCCTGGTAGAGCTCCTCGTCCAACGGCTCGCCTGAGTAGTAGTCGTAGTGGACCATCTGCGGGCTCTCAACCTCGTCTTCCAGACCGCCCGCCCACATGCTGTACAGGCCCGCCACCACTGCGCTCGGGGCCTCCACGGCGCGCGCAGCATGGATCAGGCACAGCCGACAGGCGCAGCCTCCACGGTGGTCAGCTCGAAGTGCACACCGTCCTCCATGTGATGGGCATCTGCCGTCGCATCGGCTCTCTGCCGTGGGGATCGGGTCCCAGACGGGGTCGCACTCCTCGTAGTCGTCCGCCTCGCAGACCGCGAGCTCACACACCGACAAGCCCGCGATGACTGTCACCTCAGGCCTCACACCAAGAAGCTCGATCCTCTGGCGCTTGCCGCCCTGGTCCTCGGATCCTGCAGCCTCGACCTGGTGCTTGCGAGTCGTGTCGTCCTTGGTGTCCATCGGCGTGTCGGGGATGTTCCCGACAGAGCTCCTGGGAGGTTGGTCTGCCGTGGCCTCCTGCACCTGCGCTCCCGGCCTCGGTGTGCCCGGCGCTCGGTCCTCAGGCTGCGAGCGCTGACTAGGACCAGGCGCACTCTCGGGCACGGGCGTGCCAGGCGCCACTCCAGGCGGCGCTGGTGTCGCTGGCGAGGCTCCCTCAGTCTTGAGCCTCCGCTCGAGCTCCTCCTGGACGATGTGCTCGAACCTCTGCCTGCAAGCGTCGGAGTGCTGTCCTCGCCCTGTGGAGCATTTGAGGCATTCTGAAGTCGGTCCATGTCTGTCAATCATCCTCTCTGTGATGTAGAGGCCCTTGGGCCTCGCAATCTCCTTGGCCCTAGCTGGCGTGGGGTCCCAGGGCGTCGCGCTGATCTGCCTCAGCAGGTCCTCGGACCAGCGGAACTCCTCGGGCATGCGACGCACCGTGCGCACCTTGAGGAGCCCGCGCTGCAAGTCCACGACTAGGTGCTGGTCGTCAAACTCCGACTTGCCTGCCCACGCGCCTTTAGCAAAGCGGGCCTCGAACTTGCCCTGACCGCTGGCTACCCGCCCAGCGATCCGATACCAAACCTGCTCGCCGATCTCGGCGACTTCTCCATCGTACTCCTTGCCAAAGAGAAACTTGTAGGAGGACCCTCCGTGCTCCCGCGGCTGGAATCGTGTGACATGCCAGCCGATCGCGTTCGTCACGAAGGGTAGGATCGGGTGGTCGGCGTCGATCGTGACTTCCAACCGCTTCTCCAGCGCGAACCTGAAGGTCCTCAAGAGGCCCGCTGCCAGAGAGTTGGCGCCTTCCACGCGCCCCATACTTTGATGAGAATGCGCTGCGGCTTTACGAACGATGGTGCCATGGCTCCGATGCTTCTTGACATCTTCGGCTATGGCCACGATAGCGGGTTCGCCATCAGTCAGTAGAACAACTGTGGTGTGACCCCACGAGTCGATCAGCTTTGCCACGTACAGAGTCTTATATTGCCCAACCGTCTTGTTCGTCATCAGTGTGCCCATAGCATTCGACCTCCCGTCCACGATGTTCAGCACAGGGATCATCGTGCGCCTCTCGTCCCTGGGGATGCGCTTGGCCTCGACGAGCTTCACAACGAAGCCGTGGAGCATCGGGTACTTCTGGGCGATGTCGTCAGTAGCTGCGAAGAAGAAGTCCATCTCCACGATCGGCACCTGGTCCGCGTCGAGCTCAGGGCTGTCCTGCTGCTTCGGATGAGGTCGCTCACGGCCTCGCCCCATCACGCACTCGGGGCACCAGGGCCTGAAGGGCAGGTGGTGTGCTGCATGGGCACGCCTCTCCTGCGCCGTCGGCTGTCCTGGTCTCGTGAGCTCCTTCGCTTTCAGGGTGACGTTCTCCGAGGGGTCTGGTCCAAGCGCTCGAGGCAGAGCCCCAGACGAACTCGTCGGCGCAGTCGTGGTTGCCAGCGTCTTGCGGGCTGCAGCCAAGATGCCCACGGAGTCCTCCAACTCCTGCGGTCGGAGCGCAGCCATGACCTTGCTCTGCTCGGCGTTCTGGCCGTCCTTCAGCAGCTCGTCGAACTCCAAGTAGCAGGCCGAGCGCTCCTTCTTCAGCTTGATCACCTCGGCGCCGTCGGGCGGCAGCATCGGAGCATCCACGATCCAGTCTCCCATCGGCGAGTGCAAGACTGACTGGCCTCGCCTTGTGATGGCATCTGTAGAGAGGACGGGGTGCTCGATGTCTGCTACCTCCATGCCCAGCTGCAGCACTGCATCTCCTCGTCGAATCTTGACGTCGGTACGG